GAGAGTTGGACTGCGTCTGATACATCGGATGGTTCCCATGCCTGGAACTGAACCTAGGCCGCCTGGATTAAATGCTTGGGCCTTGTGATAATGAGATTCCTGAAGATGTAAAGGTAACTCGAAGTAGTCGTTGAGTAGTGCCTATTAAACGTATGGACTTATGAACTACCGTTGACTTTTTCCTTAGACTTTGATAACTGTAATGTCATTTGTGTGTTTATTGTTCTTTAATGTTATATTCACATGATTATAGTTCTTAGTTCAGTTTCATGTCATGTGTTAAAATTTATGTCTATTATATATGTATACATTTTCATTGCTTCATTTTGCATTGCTTTTAAAGCAGACTTGCCTGCAATTCAAAGGGTGGGAGGATGTTGCGACTCCTATTTATCATTTCTGTTTCTTATTTTTTAATAGTTTGTTTTGTAATTTTGTCTAATGAATAAATATGGCAAACAGTTTTGTTTTTGAATGTTGTGATCAGAAAATTCCTAAGCAGTTAAGTTACGTTACTAAATTTTTTTTTATCATTAAGATGTACAGATCTTTTGATCATTATACTAAACTCTACATGTAAATAGTCACATTAATATGTATGTGTTTGTAAAGTGAAATAAATTTGATATTAAACAAAGGTTTTGAGTCAAAACAGCTGAAGTGCCAAGAATAAACCTCTAGCACTAGCAGTAGCACCTATTGTACTATTGTATTATACCTATTTTACTAGTAGCACCTATTGCAGAACCATCGGTATACACATGCAACCAGTTGCACTGTTGGAAATGTTTTACCTGTAGGGGCCAAAGCAGCCATCCTCAATTCCGTATCAGTGCACAATTTTTTACTGGCTGGCAGAACCATGTCTAAATTACAACTTACGAAGCTCAAAAGTCTTAGAAACACATCAGTCTCAAGTAGTGGTTGTCTGTCAAAAGAAGGGATATAAAAAATTCAGACAGTTCCATTTGTCACATGTGAAAAGGTAGGTTGGGAATTTAAACTACGCTCTGCAGAATTGCACATCTTCCAGAAAACACCACAATTCTCTCATAATAAACTTGAGAGCACTTAATTTTCCTTCAATGAGTCAGAGGCTCAATATTTGCTTGCAAATGTATGGCCTGAATAGGAGTAGAAAATGTTCTACCAACGATGATCCTCAGGACATTATTTTGAGTAGTTTACAACCTGTTCTGAATTTGATTCAAAAGCAGTTATGTGAGGTTCACCACCATATTCTACAGCAGGCCTAATATAAGATTTATAAGTGATACAGAGATCTTGGCTAGTACCTCACACTGGTAACCCTTTTAAGCAGTCTATTTCTCATGTTGCCTATACCTAGTTTCCTATTGCCCTGTTTATTATAACTTAGTCTGGAATCCAAAACAGTTTCCATGTAAATAGCCTCTTGAGCCGTGTGAAGCTGTTGGTCTCCATAAAATAGCTCTATCTCTTTAGGTTTCGTACTGAAGATAAAAACCTGAAAAGGCTATCTTACTAGTATTTACTACATTTCATTGTTTTTTGACTAAGTCAAAAGGGCATCAAGAGCAATACAAATCCTGGATAATATGAATATCCCAATCAGCAGACCACAAAAAAAGGTTGTCAGCAAAGAGAAGGGTCTGCACTCCAGCATGTGAATTCATTAAAATGGTGAACAATACTGCTGATGGAAAGTCCTTGTCTAGTTTTTTCCTCCATACTCTATGCAAGGCCATCTGAAAGTCGACCAACACTACAGTAATCTATTTAAGACGGAAGCCATCTTTTACTCCCTGTGTGAGTCTTGCTATCTGTTCAATAGTATTTCTATATTTCCTAAAACTGGCCTGTCTATCAGAAATACCACAGAATTTCTCAAAATAGTGACTAAGTCTATTTACAATGAGATAGGGTGTTCAGTCAGTGCTTATATTACACTAGTAACTGATATTAGATGAAAGCTAATCAAAACTCCTAGATCTTCACCAGTTTTGAAAATAGGTATTATTTCTCCTTTATGCCACACACTGGAAATACCTGCAGTCCAAGAGATGTTAATAAGTCTGAGTAAGTCTTTCATAGACTTTTAACCAAGATTAATGAGAAACTGCAGCAGGATTCCATCCAGTCCTACACTCTTTCTCCGTGACAATTGCTTAATGCTACATTTGAGTTCCCATTCAGGTAAAGGTGAATTAAAAATGTTGTCTGTTTCTTAATTCAGGTAAGTCTGTGGGTAATTAAGAAGATGACTTGGGATTTTAGGAAAAGAATGATAATTACATATTCTAGCATAAAGACGATTAAAAGCACCAGCTATTTCTCTCTCTACTGATTGTTTATTAATGCTAATCAAACAGTTTGTAACTGGTACCTAATTTACTTGTTGCTTCATTGCTCATTTATCCATACTTAAATTTAAATGAACGCGGTAATAAATAAATAAAAATCCTCTCTCCCTTGATAATTAACTACAACTGAACAAAGGGATAGTACAGATACGTACAAGTGGTCTAAGCAATGCAGATAAAGCATTCATTCACAGTCCCACTGCTCTGACAATGGATGAGCTACTTTACTGCAAATAACAAGATTGTGACACAATAATAGAATCACAAGTTAGTGTCAATGAGGATGAAGTGAGTTTTTAATTTCATTTAATTAAATTATTTAATACTCATGATTCAGTTCACTGGTATTTTATAGTTTCATAAGAAACAAAATGCAAATCCAAAAGCAAAACACCTAGATTGCTGAATGTTCTTTTAAGAAGATGGGCATTATTAAATTATTTAATACTCATGATAGTCATTATGCTGCAGAGACAAGTACCAAGTCTCAGCCCACGATTGGGAAAATATTGCTTCATGCTAATTTGCAGTATCTTAGTTTACCACTGTTATAATATTGTAACAAAAAACCTTTTTTCATTACATGTGATTGCCAACATTATAAGTGCAAACACATCAGAAGTCATCAATCTTTGAGAAAAAATTTTTCATATTTTTGCTTTTAAGCTATTATCAGAAAAGCAAATGGAAATTTTAAATATTTCACTTTTTATGTAAAAAAAATTCAGATTTTGAACAGAAAACTTGGCGAATAGGATTATCACACGGTAACGCCGATGCCCTATCTAGAAGATCCAATTCATAAAGCTGCCAATATTGTTCTAGGGCCAAAGCAAAGTACAAGCTGCTTGATCTGGTTGTATGTCAAGTTGTGAATTGAAGATCATCTGACTCAGACCCATGGAGTGACAAAGAAGTCACGAAAAATGAAACAAAACAAAAGTCAAAACAAAAGTGGGATCTCTGGGACTCACTCCATACTCAAAACAGAGCTGAACTGTTCCTGAATGGATCACATTTTATAGAAAAATGAACTACTCTTGAACAAATTAATTATAAAAATGCAAAACTTCTGTTCAGTTTTAGAGTTTTGAAATTGAGTGTCCTTGGCAACTAGAATTTGAGAAGAGTGTAGAGACTACTCATTGGTCTTCTGACAACTACAAGAATAAGGTCCAAAGAAGGGTTAATTTACCCTTTTATTTTAACTTGACAATATTTACAGATGGCACTTCTCGGACTTGGACTTCAGCTTAAGATAGAAAATAAACTAAATTAATTCTAACTAATTAAAATGTAGCCAGAGCTGTACAGAAATAACAAACCCTTATTTAAACCTCACTGGTAAATACTAATAAGCACATAAGGACACCATCAAACATAGTAAGATCAACGTAAAGCAATGACGCAGCCAGAAGACAGAACATGCTCTACTGAGAACTTCTGGGCTCTTCTATGGAAGTGACTGAAACTTCAAATACCGGCTCTACCTCATTTACATAAAACATGATACTGAACACTCATTCTGGCAGGAAATTGCACATGAAAAAGAAGAAAATCTAGGAAAGTTATTTTAAAATTATAAATAACTAATAAGAAATTAAAATAAACCCCAACACAGTCACATACTGTTATTTTTGCTACAACAGAGCTTAAATAAAAAATGTGCATTTTAAAATTAAGGCTCCAGTTAATGAGATATACCCAACTTCCAGAAAAATGATGTATGCAAAGGACACCATCATAAGTGTACCTGATCACAAATGTGTTGGCAACTTCAAATAGGTCATATTTTACCTATAAAGCAGGAACTATATTAAAAATGTCAGTATCATTAAGCTGGTCTATTGTTGTACAAATAGAATTTTAATCTGCTGCTCTGACCAATAAATTAAACAAATAATATTTCTATGCTCCTCTTGGCTATTATTGCTTCAGCTTTGGTGCATTTCTGATCAGTATTAGTGGTTAGTAATGGCACCTGTCATATCATATGGATGGCCTTGGTTTTAATTCCAGAGATGGCATGGATATTGACAAGTATACAGTGTTACTGCCTCATGGAGTCACTTAAAATACTACAAGATGAAAGTAGTTTGGTAGCAGGAACACAAATGGATCCATTCTATGGGATATACTTCATCAAAACTGGAACAAAACTGAACACTTAGTGTGGTGGAAACATAACTGTGATACCATTTAGTGAAGTTCTGATGTCCCACTCACAGTCAATCTTGCCCAATCAGTTTATGATGGAACACAATTTTTAAGTGCCCTGGAAAATGGCAAAGCAGGGTCAATTTTAGCAAGGGGAAGAGGGGGCAAAATATGCACTGCATAGGGGTGGCCAAATTTAAGGGCAGCAAAATGATTACCAAACATATTATATTTTGGTAAAAAAAGGAGGCTAATTTTATTTTGCACATGGGCAGCTTATAATCTAGGATTGGCACTGTGCCAAAGCTGGTACAAGCATAAACAAATATAAGTATGTACAAGTGGGAAAGAATGTACCATGTGGATGAAGCCCTTTTGAAACTAACCAGTTTTCTGCAGCTCCTGAACACATTCTTCATTTCTGTTCTATTTTTGCTTTTTCTCCTAAAATCAATTGCAATAAGAATGATAGTACATTTTTTAAAATATAAAATTGCTCACCTAACTTAACTTCAGCATTATCTGTCAAAAGAACATTTTGACCTTTTATATCCCTATGTATAATTTTGTTAGCATGTAAATGACTCAGTCCCTGCAAAGAAAGAAAAATCCACATAAATATATATTTCTGTATATTTAGATATCTTTCATATGTCATAAGTTCTTTTTTGAAGAAATGCATGTTACAATAAAAACTTATTCACATAGATTGAGCAAAAACTTAAAAAGAAAAAAATCCAACATAATGTATAACAAATAAGTAATCAAATTTCCTATAAAATATGAATAATAAAACATCAAATGAATATGTAACATAAGTATAGAAAAATTTACTCTCGTATACAGCCAGTTACAAAATTAAAATTTTATGAGCTTACTTAATAAATACATTTTTAACAAATAGCAGTGCAGACCATTGTAAAAACTTTCCAATCTATCAGAAAGATAAATATCAGTAAAACTTTCTTTTCAAAATATTTAAATGAGAGGAACTGAAAATAGCAAAATGCAATATTACTCATTTTATCTGCATTATAATCTTGCTTTGAAAAATAGATTCTTCAAAGCAAGGTTATAATCTAAACGCAAAATAATGTATCCATGATACAAAGCAGATGGCCAAAATGCATTTAAATTTCACATGAGGTTTTTCAAAATGGTAAAGATATCAGAGCTGCTGCTTATTTCAAAGGGGGTCTTACAGAAATGATTGACACAATGGCTCTCACAATGAGACTCATAAACTATATGACAGGGAAAACAAGTGACATAGACAGAATGGGGCATGAGCTACTCAAAATGCATAGATGGCAGTGAGTAAAAGCCCCAGTGTAAGTCAGTGCCCGTCACTTCACCGTCATCATTGAGAGCGTGGACAGCAATGATGGAAGGTGACTATCATGGTCAACAGTGTGGTTCCTATGGAAAAAAGGAAAACAGGATAGTGAGATTCATCGTTGCATGGTATTTGAGTGCAGACAAAAGCACCTTCAAGGCATACCATATCCTATTAGTTGGTCAAGTCCATCAGTGAAGTGGAAACCGCAGCGAAAGGTGTCTCAGCAGAACGACCAGCAACATTGCATACAGCAGCAAATGTGACAGCCATGTCGGATTTGATCATGGCAAACAGGCACATAACATTCAAAAAGATGCAGGAACAGGCAGGGCTTGCAAAAAGGACATTACAGGTGATTATGCATGGTGATTTGGAGATGACAAATGTATGTGCAAAGCAGGTGCTTCATGCCCTCCCACTACAAGAAAAGGCGAAGTGCGTTGACATTTGCAAAGAATTTTATGCACTACACGATGCTGATCCGGATGACTTCTTCATGTGGCTGGTCAAGGGAAGCGAGTCTTGGTTTTTGCACAACACTCCCGAAATAAAAACACAGCTCCATGGAGTGGAATCATGCATTAAGCTCTCACATCCCATGAAGCCTAGGTCAGCATTGAACACACAAAAACAAATGGCAAACGTGATCTGGTATCTTCAAGACATTCTTCTCGTGGACTGGCTTGAGCCTGGGTGCACCATCAACAGCAACTGGTACTGTGAGTTTGGCAGAACACTGCGATAGCGTATTCAAGAGCAATGTCCTGGCAAATGGGAATGGCATGTGCTGTTGCAGCATGCCTCCACACCAGCCAGAACACATGCGACACTCACAAGGTATTGGGCTTTACTGTGTTGCCATACCCTCCATACTCGCCTGATCTGGGCCCCTCCGACTACACCTTGTTTGACAAGATGAAGGATGCAGTCAGGGACCAACATGCTGAATCGCATGCAATTGTTTGCAGGTGGTGGACCAACACACCCACAGACTGGTTTACCAGGGTCGTTTTAGACCTCCCAGCGAGATGGCAGAAGTGTATTGACTTAAACGGATATTACTTCTAACTGATGTACTATCGTTTTTTTTGTTAATAAATTGTATTCCACTCTGTACCAGCTTTTTGTGTCATTCATTTCGGTACGACCTTTATACATCTAATTAAAAAAATGCAATCATTAATTTTTTTTAGTCTTTTTTAATGAAGCTATCACATGACTGTGTAAATAGTAATTATCACATAGATGTGTAAATAAGAAACAGAAAAATAAACATAACATAAATGCATTCACTAATATCTCAATACACAGACAGGAAACTTACAATCAAAAATGATAAATCTATCTTAACCCCTTAACTGCCGCGGGCGTATATATACGCTGCTCAACCGATCGTTAATGCCCAGGCGTATAATGCCTTCCAAAATGCTTCATTTCTTTGCGCTGGACACCTAAAATTTTCGCAAAGTTAACGCACCGGCTGCGCATCTGGGGTAGTTAACGCATCGGCTGAGCAAGGCGTATATATACGCCCGCGGCAGTTAAGGGGTTAAACAAATCGGGCATTGGAACATGGTTCTTGATCAGAATTAATATAAAGAAAGGCATATATGAACTTTAAAAAAAATGGCTAATCCAGCAATTATTTAAAGTGGCAATCTAATCAAATAAGCTGCAGTTCTTACTCTCAAAATTTCTCGGCATATATATGCAATCCATTCTTCCTTTATTGGTTGCCCTTTGGTTGCTGAAATATATTAATAAAATATATTTATTTGGAAAGGATTTATCAGAAATTAAACCGTAACATTCTGAAACAAGAGTTAATAAAATACAGTACAAAGTCTGAAATCCGGATGTCCAATATCCGGAATAATCTAAAATCCGGACCTCAAAACCAATAACAGCGTTTTTCTCGGAGGCTTTATGCATGTGCATTTGATACAACCCCCTTCTGCGCATAATAAAA